CCCTTGCACGCTCGTTCCCTGCCTCATGCTCTTTCTGGGGTTTTGCTATTGTTTTTTATTGTGCTAAAATGTGCATGATATAAAATGACCATTTTAGCCGTACTTAAATGCACAGTGCAGTGGCGTTAAGTACGCTCACATTGCCGTGCACCCGTCACACCAGCCGCCTCCAGAGCGCCCTCATCTTCCCCGGTGAAGCTCTGTCCCCATTAAACACTAACACCCATCCCCCCACCCACCGAGTCCTGGCAGTGGTGGTTTTACCTCTTGTCTCGGAGTCTGACTGCCCTGCACATCTCATAAGGGGGATCGTGTGGTGTTTGTCCTTTTGTGTCGGCTTCATTTCCCTCAGCGGAACGTCTGATACTCTCCGTCTTGGTCTGTTCCCATCTCCGCACCCACGCACGGACGCTCACTCCTGTGCCCCTGCCGTCTGCTGGACCTTGAATAAGGTCCAGCTGCAGGTTCCTATACTTTCTGGTGTCCTGGGTCTATGCTTAGACCTAGCCTTTCTGAGGACTGTCTTCTTTTTCACTGGGACTTAGCCCCTCTCTGCTGTGTCACATGTGCCTGCATCCCCTTCCCTCTGACTTATGCAGAAGGCCTGTCTGGTGAGCCGGGTGGCAGTGTGGAAGGCCCACCTTCGTGCCTCCGGGCCCACGCTCGTGCTGGACACCTGCTGCACACGCCGGGCAGGTGTGCTGAGTTCTGGAATTCTTCACGTGGCCCCTGGGCCGGAGGACAGCGTGCCTCCCAGAGTCCTGCCTCCCCCAGTATGTGGCCCACAGGGGCCGTGATGTGAGGTGGTTGGGGTTGCTGGTGACGTGAGTGGTGCTGCTGTGAGTTTGTAATCTTAGCCGAGCGCCATAAATAAGTAATTGGTGCTTCTTTGCCATTGGACTCACTCTCTGCCCTCCCTCCTTTCTTTCTTTTTAAAAATTTTTATTATTTTTAATAAGAATAAGAAATTTTATTCGAGAGAGAGAGAGAGAGCAAGGGAGGGGCAGAGGGAGGAAGAGAGAGAATCCCAAGCAGGGCTTCATGCCCAGCCCGGTGCGGGGCTCAAACCCAAGACCCTGGGGCCATGACCTGAGCCCAAATCAAGGGTCAGTGGCTCAACTGACTGAGCCACCAGGTGCTGCTCAAAGCAGATTATTTTAATGAGCCAAACAAATGCAGCAGAGGTCACCTTTTCTCATTTATTACATGATCCTTATCATACTTGCAGCGAGCTTTCCCAAAGTTATGATTTTTAAAAGTTATTTATGTCTTACGGAGCTTTTAGAGTAATAGAATTTATTGTCAAATTACTACTTTGAAAATTTACTATGAAATGTTGAGCTTTTTTTTAAGGAATCTAATGTAGAAATAATTGAATCACGTGTACTCATTTCCCAGAATAGAATGGTTATGATTAATTTGTACGTGGGTGATTCATCTGAAGGCCTTCCGAGTTCAGTTTCCAGTTACACTCTGGTGGCACTTCCTGCCTCCTCGCCTGCTGCTGAGTGTCCCAGGGGACAGTCCACACACACACACACACACACACACACACACACAC